GGTTAATTTCATACATCAACTTGATGGGGCTAAGGGATGCCCAGATGGCAAAACATTGTTTCTGGTGTGTCTATTAGGGTGTCTCCGGAAGAGATTAGTGTTTGAATCAGTAGACTAAGTAAAGAAGGTCGCCCCCATCAATGCGGGTGGGCTTCAACCAATCTGTTGAGGGCCTGAACAGAACAAGGAGGTAGAGGAAGGGTGAATTTGCTCTCCTCTTGAGCTGGGACATCCACCAGAGCTCCTGGCTCTAGGGCCTTCAGACTCAGCCTGGGGTTTACACCACCAGCTTCCTAATTGGCCTCCTGGCTTGGGCTGAATTACAGCACTGGCCCTCCTGGTTCTCCAGCTTGCTTGAGGCAGATCGTGGGGCTTCCTGGCCTCTATAACTGCACGAGCCAATAAATATAATAAATAAATGGACAAATCTCCATATCTTATTGGTCTGTTTCTCTGGAGAACCCTGACTAATACAGCATCTCCAGGACGGGGTGTTGCTCTCAGGGTTACTGACAAGGCCCTGTGGATGTGCCACAACTTGGAGGGATCTCCTAAGCCACTCATCAAAGCATCCTTGTAGACAGGAACCAAGAATTTACCAGAACACCACACTGGACCATATCGTCATAACTGCCAATTCTACTCGCCTTGATTAATCTTGATCTTTGAGAGAGGGGCTATTTCCAAGGGGCTGCGTGTGGTTCTTTCTGGTCCTGATGCTGCTGCTCTTTTCGGGGTAAGGTAAGTTTAGGGGGGAGGCTCAGGAGCCATAGGCTGCGGGGAAGGCCAGTGATGGTCAAGAACTGGGTAAAATCTGGAGTCAGCCAGGCACAGCCATGTCAGCCATGAGATGCAGGGTCCCAGACAGCTGGAGCAGGAACGGGGAGGAGAGGGATCTGCTGCGCGGCTGAATTCCTGGTCTGAATTTCCCATCAGCATCAAGCTAGGAACCCCCTCCCTCCAGGCCTTCCAGTGGGGCTGGGCCACCTGCGATACCACTCCCCCCTAGTCTCATGACGTGACCTGTCCCCACACCCCCATCTCTTCTGATCTAACCATGGACAGATTTTTCCCTTTTCTTCATAGTCTGCCCAGGTGAAGTTAGAACATTCTGAAAAAGACTTACTAGGAAGCACAAGGCAGATAAATACAAAATCATGCAATGGACAAATGCCCCAAACACATTTGTTGAATGATAAAAGTATTCCACGGGATTTCACCAGAGTAAGTCCCTACGCTACTGCTGTATCCCTGGTACCTAGAATCGTGCTCGGAACAACGTGGATGATTAGATGATTAGCGCACCTTCGCTGAGTGAATGAGTGCACGAAGGGATGAACGGGCCAAGTGAACATCCTGCCTGATGCTAAGCATGGCTCTCCCCTTCACCCAAGCTTGTCTTTCTCACACACAGCACTGACCTGATGACCGCCCGCTGCCCTCCAGCTGACTGACAAACAAGCCTCGCCAAGAGCCCACCTGCCTTCCTGCCAGACTCCCCCCTCCGCCACTTCCACTCCACACTGCACCCCTCTCGCCCCAGTGACCACACCGCACATGCCACCATCTACTGTGGACTGAGCAGTAACTGGCATTTGCTGAGCCCTCTACACGACTCATCTCATCTGATCCTCATGTGCTGTGCACAGGTGCTAAAGGCACCCAGTTTGGAGATGAAGAAACTGAGGATAACAGAAGCCCAAGGTCAAACAGCAAGTAAACAGAAGAGCCAGGACTCAGACCCTTAACTGTTTCCAAAACCCATGCTCTCTGCCGCTAAGAGTAGTGATGGTGGACCCCTGACACCACCAGGCTACCTCCTCCTATCCTCACCAATCATCAAATTCAAGAATATCAGTGACACTGAATTTGCCCCAAAGACATTCGTTCAATAAATACTGAGCACCTACCACGTGTTCAGTGGGTACATAAATGACGGGCATCAGGCTCCCTCCCTAGGAGTTGTCATGGTCCGTGCGGTGGACACCACCTTGCCTGGGGTGAGCGGTCCCTGAATGGGAACCTCCCATCTCCAACGCTGGATTCTCAGCAGCAGACAGTCAGGAGAAAACCCTCTTGTTTGGTTTTCCTGGCCCCCACCTCCGGCGGCCTGCAGTTCCCAGCTTGCTCACAAAGCTCATCTGCCTAGCAGGTGCTGTGCACCCAGAACGATCTAACACAAGTGACCTTGCTTCCCCAGGGGGCACTCCAGTAAGTCATCATTCAGGCATCCCCCAGGGAGAAGGTGTTCTGGGGCCCTGACGCTATACTCGTGCAACATCAAAAACACTTTACTCACTTCAACAATGAAAGATACCATCTTCACCAAGACAAAGCGGCATGGTTTCCTGAAAATGATGCCCAGCAAGTGAGGGTCGGAGATAAGCAAGTCATTCCCCCCTGGAAGGGGCAAACTGTCCTACATGGAAAGTTCCTGTGTGATTGCTGGTCCACTCCTCACGGAGACAAGGACGCCTCAGACCCATCAGAGAAGGCTGGAGACTTGTCCCTCTGCCGAAGAAATGGAGCCAGGATGTGGACCCAGCTTCTCTGGTCCCTCCAGGCCTCCTTCCCTTATTACCACGCGCTCAGAATTACAGGGAAGAGGCCAGTGTGGGTGCTGGGCAGGGCAGGGTGAGGCCAACCTGATGGCTGTCCAAGACATCCTGGCCAGTGCTGTCCTGTCCCTGGGAACTTTCCAAAGAGTGTTGCTGCCACACACACCCATCCCGGCAGCTGGCTTGCGTGAGGCTTGTCTGGATGTGTATGGGGTGTGGAGGCCTCATGTGCCCAGGGGGCAAAGGCCTTCATCTGAGGGAGGGGTCTTTTCTCAGAGTCTGGCCAATGCAGAGGCCCAGGGGTGAGGGTGTCCAGATTGTCTCCAGGGACCCACAGCCTTGAGCATCAGGGTCCTGGGGACCAAGTGGTCACCTGCACCCAGGACAGGGGGACTGGCAACAGCATTTGACCTTCCCTATCCCTCTCCCCTACCCCTTCCCCCAGGTGGGCCAGTTGTCTTCCTCTCCAGCCCAATCAGGGGAGTTTCTCATTGTAAATACCACGCCACAGCCATCCTCCAAGTTCTGGCACTCCAGCCACACAGGTCTGCGCTTTTCTCCAAGTACCTCTCCCCCTTGATAGCCCTGAGCCTCCCCTTCCTCATTTCCTCCTTCCCTGTCTCAGGCACTTGAAATCTGGCCCATCATTTAAGACCCAATTCAAAACTCACCTCCTCCACTGCCGTCTCTCTCCCAGCCCTGTCCCCCCATAGCCCCTCCTGTCATCATCATCGTCGAGCCCCTTCCAGTGTGCTCACCTCACTCCATCATGTGCTCCCGTGACATCTGTACATGACTTTGTTTCCTAGCACAGTGCCCCACACAAAGAAAGCTCAAAACTAATTTTTACTTGAATAAGTCCAATGCATTCATCATTATGTTACAGACAAGGAAACTGCAGCTGGGAGAAGTTGAGAGGATTCCTCGAGGTCACATACCAGCTGGTCAGTGCTAGAGCCAGCTCCAGAACCCATCCATAAAAGCGTGATTCCTACCCTGTCCTCCTCCCCTGACCCCATACTGCCTCTTACCACCTACTCGGATCAAGCCAGGGCCACAAGCTCAGCATGGGTGATTTGTTATTGCAGGCATCGCACATACAGAAGAGTATAAGTATGTATGTGCTGTGAAAAGAGTAACAATCACCTGAGTCTCCACTACCTGGGTTAAGACATACAATGTTATTAGTGCCTTAGAATCCCCCATTTCCCCAGCCCCCTCTCCTGTGACCCTCCCCATTAACCACTGGAGTTAACCACTATCCTAACTCTCCTATTAATCATCCCCTAGCTTTGCGTTATGGCTGTGCCACTTTTATGCGTCTCCCTAACAACGTATCGCCCTTTGCTTACACAGCTAGGTTTGTGCTTGCTACTCAGTTTTTCAAAATTAAACAGGATCTGTGATCTCTTCAATGCTTAACACTGTTATGTTCAAGTTCTCCCAATGCAGCGAAGTCTGAGCAGATGCCTATTATAAAGTCAGGCCACAAAAGCATGTACAGAGTTCTCCTATCAGATAGCACCAGCTCTCTCCTAAAAGCCACTTTATTTTAGGCACTGAATTAATGGTATACAAATGACATGCATAGTAATGTGGAATTTTTTTTTTCAGGAAAGGATTTTGTATGTGTGTGAAAAAGTCAACTGCTCAGGCCCTTGTCTTACAGGGCTGTTTTGATCCCAGTTGCCTGACAGCAGGGATCTGTCCTTGTGTTTGGAGACAGAAAAGAGGCTCTAAGAGGATGTGAAGAGAAGCTGGCTCAGAGGGTCCCCCAGAGCCCTCCTCGCTTCCTCCCAGCCAGCCCTCACCACGGTGGCTTTGGCCCACAGCTGCCCTAGCCCAGGGACCTGGTGGCAGACAGAAACAGATCTACTTTGGTTTCCATGGCAACTGCACGCATTGGGAGACCAACCGAGTGAGCCACAGCCAACGAGGCAGCTGGTTTGAAGGGTGTTGATCTCTCTGTGGACCAGCAAGGCAGAACCACAAGGGACCGGAGGCAGCAACCAAGCCAGGAGGAGACACAGGAGCTGGGCATATGGAGTCTGCAGGAACCTGTCTGCAGAGCTACACATGAGCAGTGCACATGTGTCCACTCACCCACGACCCTCTCTCACCCACCCACTCAGGCAGAGGCACGTGCTGAGAAATGCACATCCACGCTCCATTGTGAACACAGAGACCCATGCTCCCAAACTCAGACACCTGTTCACACCAAATACACCCAAGGTTTTACACCTTGCCCCATTTTCACACTGAAAAACACAGACCCCTGCATACAAATGCACATTCATCCATAATATATGATCTGCACCCCTAGAAAGATTCAGTCACCCCAATACACTTTCTCTATACACACCCACATGCACAGATGGTGCACACACTCACCTTAGACACACAGACCCACATTTACAGGGAGAAACGCACGTCCATACTCACCTGTGTGCTGGCAGGGACACTCCCAGAACATACACATGGGCTGAGATCAGAGCCTCTGGATGCGAAGACTCAGAAGCTGAGGAGCTCCAACTGCAACAACTCAGAAATGGGATGTGGTTCACGGCTGCAGCAGCATCACAAAATCCCAGAAACAAGTCTCCTGGCTTGCTGCCTCATAAACGGTGCCCCCATAGAGAAAGGCCTTTAATCTTCTCTGTTTATTTACTCATAGTAATTCTTTTTTGTGTCCTCCATAAACACCAAAAGGACAGAAATCCAACAATCCTCATGTCATGCAGACTTGGAATAAAAATTTTGATGACAGACTCAGAGATGCACGTTCCTCTTTAAGACACCTGTATGTGTCTGACTCTGAAGAGGCCTGTCCCATCCTGGTTCACTGCTTTTTGGTCCCAAAAGGCAAGGAAAAGAGGCCTGCTGGTTCCGCTCCTAGGAAAAAGGGACAAATTCACAGCACGTGGAGTATCTTGCTAGGCCAGGGGTTAGCTCCTGACCTAGCAGGGAAACCTGACAACCACAGGCTCCATCCACCGAGGCCCTTGAGAGCCAGGGGTCACAGAAGCACTTGGCGGGGGGACATTTTGTTGAGAATTTCTTGAAGCACATTTGAATATTTGTAACATTTATTTCAATATTGTCCTAATGATCATTTAATTAATATGGAGAAATGGAAAGATTATGTACATGTGTATATATTCCTATTACAATAATAATAATAGCTAATACAGGCACAAAAACGTCACTAAATGTTAAGCTATTGAAGGGCTTCCCTGGTGGCGCAGTGGTTAAGACTCTGCCTGCCAATGCAGGGGACACGGGTTCGAGCCCTGGTCCGGGAAGATCCCACTATGCCACGGAGCAACTAAGCCCGTGCACCACAACTACTGAGCCTGTGCTCTAGAGCCCGCAAGCCACAACTACTGAGCCTACGAGCCACTCTGCAACAAGAGAAGCCACTGCAATGAGAAGCCCGTGCGCCACATGGAAGAGTAGCCCCCACTCACCGCAACTAGAGAGAAAGCCCGCACACAGCAACAAAGACCCAATGCAGCTAAAAATAAATAAATAAATATTTTAAAAATGTTAAGCTATTGTTATTACTGTGATTTTAAATTGATAATGAAAATCATCTATAACTTAAAAACTGGGGGTAGTTGAGATGAACCTCCTTATTTCATAGGCTTTTAAACACTTTTCAGTTTTAGCAGCAGCAGGATTAGCACTGTGTGGTACTTTACAAAACAGTTTCACATACACCATCTCCTTTGTGTCCCTGAGCATCTTCTGTTGGCCAGGCATCAAGCTGGGGGGGGGGGGTATCATAGATTAGTAAGACCCAGGCCCAGGCCTTGAGGAGCCCACAATCCAGCAGGTAAGGGGTGGGGGAGGCACACTGGAACTGTGTACCATGCAGCCTCATGTCATCACAAAGGCCAGTGCAAAGGGCAGGAAGCATAGGCAAAGGAATCATTTGTAGATGGGAAAGAATCAGGAAGGGGTGGAGAATCAAAGAGAGCTGCAGGGAGGAGGTCACACTTGAGCTGGGCCTGAACTCACCAGTCGGTTTTGACAAGCCAAGTTCCTGGCTGGAAAGGAGCATTGAGGTCCCAAGCACAGCTGTAGAAGAGTGGGTGGTCGACCTGGGCAGCTAGACCCAGGGGTCCAGAAGGGTACAGGGAAGAATGGAGCCACAAAGGTAGACTGAGGCCAGATTCAGAAAGGCCTTGCACGGCAAGCCAAGGAGTCTGGCCCAGCAAATCATCAGGTGTGAACCGGCCAGACCTGTGGTCCAGAGAAACACCTCAGGTACCTGGGTGTCTTGACACTGGGTTGTGGGGTATGACTGGGAACCTCGGGGCCAAACCGGAGGGTTAAAATTGCACCCTCCATTAACAGAGCCAGAGCGTGGGTCAGCACCCCCAGCACCCAGCTCACCCAGCTCGGCGCCTGACTCACACAAGGCTCTCCATAAATGTTTGCTGAACTGCACGGCGCAGCGGGTCACGCGAAGAAAATGGAATTAAGAGTCGAGTGACCTGGAGGGCTGCTTCAGGCCCACTACTGACTGGCTCCCGGACTCTGGACCGGCGATTTAACCTCTGGTTCTCGGTTTCCACGCTGGTACAGCGAATCCGATAATGCCCTGACCTCCCTGGCTTAGCTGCTCTGAAGCTCTCACGCGGGAACCGGCTGAAGACGCTGGAGGGCGCAGAGCGCCGGCCCTGGGGGGGGACCACGCGGGCCGCTGCCGCCTCCCCGGGACCATATGCGGGGAGAGCTGGCTCAGCCGTCAACAATCACCTGCCCCCCAAACTCACACCTGCGCTGCACTTCCCCTTAGGCAGATGGTGCGATTTGGCCGCGCGCCAGCGCGTTGACCCCGCCCTGGACGCTCGCGCATGCGCCCTGCAACTGACGGGACGCCGCTGGGAGGTGGCTTTGCGGACCGGCGGTCACCCGGAAAGGATATGGCTCAGCCAGAGGGCGGGGTGCCTACGGCGCCCCTCCCCTTGCTGGAACGGCGCCCCTTACCCAAGGCCAAGGCAGCAGCAAGGCCAGCTTCTCCCCAATTCTCACACCGCCTCTGAAACGTGAACAGGGAAGGAAGCTTTCAGAGTTTCCCATGTGGAGAAACTGAGGCTCAGAGAGATTAGGAGACTTTCAGCTGGACACACAGATATTAAAAGATGGAGCCAGATGGAAACCCAAGTCTGCCGAACTCCAAGCACACCGTTCTTTCGTTGGTTGGCACTACCCCGGCGCCTCAGACCACTTTGGCCAATATCTAGTGGGGGCAGGAATTCTTCCTTCACCCAAAGCTGGCTTTGCCTCCGTCCAGCGCAGCAGCCTTACGATTCCCGTACCACCCGGCCCACTCCTGAACCATCGTGCATACCTGAAAATTAGTGGGGATCTGAGCCAAGCGTAAATCAGTAGAATTAAATGATGAAATACACACAAAGAACTCCTTAAATATATATATATATAACATTAAATATATATTTAATATATATATTAAATATATATATATTATATATATATATTTATTTAAAGAAATCTGGTCTAAATGCCAAGCCGGGGGCAGGCATATCTATTGGTACAGCATCACCACCAAGGGCTCGTCTGGCCTTAACCGGCACACCTCCCAGAATCCTGAGCTCATCATTTCCTCTTTGCCCAACGCTGGTGTTGAGAAAGTTCTTGCTTCTCTTTAGCTGAAATCCATCAGTCTCCTTAAGGATCCAGTTGCCCCTCTTGGGGCCACATGGAACAAATCAAATCTCCCTTTCTTTTCACAATCCAGCCTACATTAGGAGGCCGCCTTCTCTCTTCCTGACTCAGCGGCCCCCAGTTCCTTCAACCATTCCTTAGAAGTCATGCTTTTGTGTTCCTTTCTCAGCCTCCAGACACACTCCTGTCTGGTCCTATCCTTCAGAGCTCAGCACAAACATGTGTTCTCACCATGTGTCAGACACCGTGCTATAAGCGCCTTCCCTGAGTCATCTCATTTACTCCTGACGACAACCCCAGGAGGTGGATGCCATCATTATCCCCGTTTGGCAGATGAGGAAACTGGGAAGTGAAGGAACATGCCAACAGTTACAGAGCAAGTGACGGAGCAGTCTCTGCTGCCCTCTGCTGTCACTGCAGCTCCAGCAGAACAAGAGCACTGGGCTTGGGGTTGGGTGAGCTTTGCTTCCCACTCTCCCACTTATTATTGTGTGACCCGGGCAAGCCACACATCTGGTTCTCCTGGTCTGTAAAATGGGGGTCGTTATAATGTCTACCTGCTAGGCTTTTTGGAGATTAAAACACATTTTGAGATGTGACCATAGGCCTGATACTCTCCACTAGCTCCCCCTACCCCTCCAGGAGTCCTGTGCGAGGACTCACAGGGACTACAGCAAGTGACCAGATTCATGTCACATCCTATAGTGCTGGGGCCCTCTCCAGGAGGGAGCCAGGTTCAAATCTCCAGGTCCCTCACCCGGCCTGAAGTCACTCTCTAAAATGATTTGTCAAGTGACAAGCAAAAATATATTACCAATTTAAGAGTGTGATTTGCCTGGAACTTTTTAATCCTTGGGCTGTTGTTGAATAGATTAAAGTGTCTGCTTTGATCCATGCATTTAGATGGAAACATAAATATAGCCATCACTTATTCTCTCAGCCGCCAGGATGGGTGTCACGTTGCATCACGCCGGCTTCCCACCCAGCCAGGGTAATGCATGAGAATGACCTTTTTGCCATTCAAATCCCTTTTGACTTTTCTGCTCTGGCCGGAGCCCGAGCTGCCCTGCTGCTTAATGTGACCACAGCTCACTCTGGGAAACAGTCGGGAGAAAGGGTGGAGCAGGGGACGCCCGATGCCGACAACTTCCCCCAGCTCGGCAGAGCCCAGCAAGAATAAGTCTCCGGAGAAACAGATTTTGAAGAGGAATTTAGTACATAGATCTTCTGTCAGCGGAGCAGACTCCGGCTCAGCCGTTTTTCAGGCTCGCTGCTTATCCAGAAATACATCTATTTTTACATGGATCTCTGGCGAGATTCCCTCTTCCCTCGTGAGGTGGGAAGCTGCGCTGGGAGCCGGGCACGGGGTCGGGGGTGGGGTGGGGGGGGCGGGGCCTCGGGGCAGGGCAGGCCCAAGGTCTGGCTCCAGGACGCTGCGGCTCGGCAAGAGGGAAGCGGTGCCGAGCCCTGGGCCTTCCGAGCCTTCCTCCAGCCATCCGCACGCATCCTGCCCCGGCCCTTCTCGGGACACGGCCCGGCCTCCCAGAGTCTCCATCACGGGCCCTGCCCTCCTGCGCCCTCTCCGCCCAGCCAAAGCCCCGGCCACCTCCATGACCCCCTCAACCCTGAAGTCTGCTGAGGACTGAGCTGTGGACACCCCCCAGGCCCACAAGTCTGCGCAGACGCGCGCGGACAGGCACACAACGAGGACCCCCATCGGGCGCCCACTAAGATGGGCTGCGCCCGCCCTTCGCTGCCAGTTTATTCTGGGCCTGCCTGTTGGCACCCAGCCACCACGAACACTGGGAGCCGGTTCTGGGCAGCCCCGCGGATCAGCGGGTGGAATGGCTGGCGGGGGCTCTGAGCACTGTGCTGTGGCAGGCAGTTAGGCCTCAAACAATGGCCTGTGAAACGTCAGAAGTAGCGGGGAGGCTGGGATTGGCAGGGGCCTTGGGCATGTGGAGGGCCCTGGGGTTGACCACGCGCTGATGGGGCCAAGAGCCAGGGGGACAGTGCTCTCCTGATCCCATAGGACCCTTTGGCAGGAAAGACACCATATGCCTCCTTTCCCCAAACCCCCTTGAATAAGTTAACTCCTTTCACCCCAGGAGCTTTTGTTCTGTGGAGAACCAGGCCCCCCCAGGATAATCAGGGGAGAGAAGACAGTTCCAAAAATAGGAATGACCCCACTGTGGCTATATGTGCTGCCCTACTTGGCCCTGTCCTCTGCCTCCTCCCCACAGTCCAGGCCTCTGCTCCCACATTCTGTTCTAAGAAGCCCACAGTCCGTGCCCAGCCTGTCCTACCCAAAGGTCCTGCCTCTCCCCTCTCCAGGTCCTGGCTCTGCACTTCAGCCCCTGCTGCTTTGGGGACCTTGTTCCTGAATCATACCCCTCCCTCTCCTTCCAGCAGTGCTCTCTTCCTCTGCTCTGTTTTCAGTCGGCCCTGGCCTTGCCCCATCCCTGCCCACATGCTGACACACAGTGCCTGTGGACCCTACTGAGCCTGGTGTGTGTCCCCACTCTCTCCCTCCACACCACCTCGTCTCTCCTCCTAGTCTCGCTCAGAAATGCCTGTCCCCCCACAGAGAACAGACTTGTGGTTGCAAAGTGCGGGGGGAGGGAGGGATGAATTGGGAGTTTGGGATTAGCAGATGCAAACTAGTATATATAGAATGGATAAACAACAGGGTCTTACTGTATAGCACAGGGAACTATATTCAGTGTCCTGTGATAAACCAGAATGGCAAAGAATATGAAAAAGAACGTATTCAATATATATGTATAACTGAATTACTTTGCTGTGCAGTAGAAATTAACACAACATTAGAAATAAACTATACTTCAATAAAATAAATTTAAAAAAAAGAAATACCTGTCCCCATCACCCACAGCCATCCCATCACTGACCCCTGGGCTTTGTCCCACTCTCCTGCCAGACCTCTGCCTTCCTAACCCTGAGCACCAGCGCTGCCTGGCCTCACAGATGGGACCTCTCCTAGCTTGCCTCCTTCCCTTCCAGCTGCCCAGCTGTGCCTGCTCTTTCACTCTCTCTAGCTCTTCTTCCTCCTCCTCCCATCTCTTCTTTGGAGGTCCCCCAGTGTTCTAGCCCAATTTCCTTTCTACCCTGTCTCCCTCCCTTGGATACGACGACGATCCACCCCCGCACCCCCAAGCCTTCAATCATTGCTTTCGTGTGAATAGGTCACAAATGAGTATCACCTGGTCTGACATTCCTGATGAGCGTTCCCACCTGCTCATAGGACAGTTCCAGGTTGGCAGATGCTGTCACCCCTAAGTCACCCCGCCTGAAACAAATGCATCATCTGACCTCCACCTAGAGCGACTGACGAGTTACCATCTTTCTCCTGTTTGCTAAGCTAGATCCAAGGATGACTCCTCCTTTCCCCTTCACTCCCTCCCGCCCACCCACACGCATGCAGCCAGTCATGGAGCAGCCTCTAGTGTTGCCCTCCCAGCCTTTCCATTCTCATTACACCCAAGTTCTAGACCTCATTTCCATTCACCAGGACTATTTCAGGAATCACCTAATCTGTCTTGCCCCATGGGGTAGGTAGGTAGAGTAATGCCTCTCCCAAAAAATGTCCATGCCCTGGTCC